TTCTTCTGTGGAAACATAAACTGTCATTTACGAAAATCTCCAGCACTCTGCTGACTGGGGGCTGAGCGGGATTCCTTTGTTTGTAGTATCTCAGTCCCGGCCTCTCACTCTTGTTTGGCTTTCAGACTTACAGCTGGTGCTCTACCACTTGGACCATGCCCCTGTCCAGCTTTGTGCTGGTTAGTTTAGAGATGGAGTCTCTCAGGCTTTTTCTACCCCAGGGGCTGCCTTAGAATTTGGATCCTCAAGTCTCAAGCTTCCTGAGCGGCCGGAATGCCAGGCAGGAAACATAGAGCTTGTAAGAACCTTGTCGATTGTCTTGGCTCTGGCCTTGGCATTCCCTTGTGACTAGGCTCTTTTTTGGGATGGGGAGGTTAGCAGGTGGGGGTTGTTCTGTGGCTCAGGTTTCCAAGGTCCTGTGGCTTTTCCTTTTTCGGCATTCTGTGAGTTGGGGTGTGTGTGTAGGACTCAGGGAAATGTACGCCTCCCAGTTTAATTGCAGTGTCTGTTTGCTGAGAACTGCTCACTATGGAAATTAACATGTTGAGAAGACTCCATTGGAAACTGTCATGTCCCAGCTGGGCTTTTAAAAAAAAGAAGAAGAAAATCTCTTTACCAGGTGCTGTGGCTCACGCCTGTAATCCCAGCTGCTCTGGAGGCTGAGGTCTGAGGATCATGGTTTGAAGCCAGCCCGAGGCCAGAAAGTTTGTGAGGCTTGTATGTCCCGTTAAGCACCATCAGCCAGAAGTGGAGCTGTGGCTCAAGAGGTCAGAGCACCGGCCTTGAGCAAACAAACAAACAAACACACACTCAGGGACAGCACCCAGGCCCTGAGTTCAACCCCTGGGACTGGCTCAAAAAATAAAATAAAACAAACAAACAAACAAAGAAAAGCCAGGGCTGGGAAGGTGGCTCAGTGGTAGAGCGCTTGCCTTGTATGCCAGAGGCCCTAGGTTCAATTCCTCAGCACCACATAAGCAAAAAGAAAAAAGCCGGAAGTGGTGCTGTGGCTCAAGTGGTAAAGCGCTAGCCTTGAGCTGAAGAGCTGAGGGACAGCGCCCAGGCCCAGAGTTCAGGCCCCACGACCGAACCCCCCCCCAAAAAAAAGCAAAAACAAAAAAACAAAGCCAAACCGGAAGCCTGTGCCGGGCACTTGGGCCCCCCTCCCTGCAACCTTTGACCCCAGAGCCAGGCCTGTCCACCCAGAGCCCACCATGGCTTCCTTCCCTGGCCAGGAAGAGCAGGAAGACAACCCGAGCAGACAGCGGCTCCCTGGTCCCCACCGGGCCTCGCGGCCCAGAGCCCATTCCCCAGACAGGGAAACTGAGGCCCCACACCATCACGTTCATGCCTCTGTTTGTTATCACCCTGTCATTCGTTTGTGCATTCCCACAGCCATTTATCTTCCCTTCGTCCACATAATCCTGCACCCATTCATTCATTTACTCGTGATCCACCACTCATGCATTCATTCATATACTGCATTTACTCATGCATGCCATTCATCCATCCCTCCATGCATGCATCCATCCATTCATTCATCCCTCCATGCGACATTCATCCATTCATCCCTCCATGCATGCATGCATCCATTCATTCATCCCTCCATGCATCCATTCATCCATCTATTTATTCATTCATTCATCCCTCCATGCATGCATGCATCCATCTATTCATTCATTCATCCCTCCATGCATCCATTCATCCATCTATTTATTCATTCATTCATCCCTCCATGCATCCATCCATCCATCTCTCCATGCATGCATGCATGCATCCATCCATCCACCCATTCATTCATCCCTCCACGCATCCATTCATCCAAACATTCATTCATTCATCCCTCCATGTGACATTCATCCATCCATTCATTCATCCCTCCATGCGACATTCATCCATCCATCCATCTCTCCATGCATCCATCCATCCACTCATTCATTCATCCCTCCATGTGTCCATTCATCCAACCATTCATTCATTCTTCCATGCGTCCATTCATCTATTCATTCATCCCTCCATGTGTTCATCCATCCATCAGCGTTCATTCATTCATTCCTCCATGCGTTCATTCCTCCATCCACCATTCATCCATCCATCTGTCATCCAACCATTCATTCATTTATCCACCCATTATCCAACCGCTCATTCATTCATCCATCATTCATCCATCCATCATCCAGCTATTATCCAGCCACTCATTCTTTCCTTCACCCATCTATTCATTCATTTGTCCACTTATCTGTGCATCATTAATTCAACAAAGAAAAGAAAGAAAAAAAAGGAAGTGGTGGGGAAAACCAGGCAGAAGGTTTGTCATGTTCAAAGGTCCTGGGGCAGCTTGTGCGTGGCGTAGGAGGATCTAAAAATTCAAATTCTTGCTTCATACCTTCATTCATTCACCAAACCTCCCAAGTGCATTTGAATAGCTAGGGATGAGAATTCTTGACGGGGAAGTGCATGCTCGCGTGCTGGCCACCCAGCGAGGGGGCTGGGGGCACCTCAGGGCGCCTCTGGGTGCCAGCCTCGCGTTGGCCAGCCGCCCTCCGCCTGAAAATCTGTTCACAATTTCATCCTGTAGCGCATGGGCTGGCACCACTTCCGGTTCTCTGGTGGTTCACTGCAGATCAGAGTCTCACGGACTTTCCTGCCCGGGCTGGCTTTGAACCGCAATCCTCAGATCTCAGCCTCCTGAGCAGCTGGGATGACAGGCGGGTGCCCCCGGCGCATGGCTAGAGCTCCAGGTTTTAAATCAACAAAGAATGACAAGGGGCAACACGGAGCAGAAGGTTTACGGGTGAGCAGCCCCAACCCCAGGCTCTTTCCGGGGTTAGCGGCACCTGGTGACATCATCAGCGTCAGAGCGCACTGTCTCTGGCTGGGCCTTGCTGCAGTGATCGCAGCTGACCTCACAGGGGGTCAGGCTTCCTGTCTGCTCCTTCCTACGAGAGGAAGGATGGAGGGAAGAAAGCAAGGGAGGAAGAGGGAAGGACAGAGGGAATGAAGGAGGGAGGTAGAGGAAAAGAAAATGGAGGGCTGGACCCTGGTGGCTCACGCCTGTCATCCTAGCTACTCAGGAGGCTGAGATCTGAGGATTGTGGTTCAAAGCCAGCCCGGGCAGGAAAGTCTGTGAGACTTTGATCTGCAATGAACCACCAGAAAACCGGAAATGGTGCTGTAGCTTGAGTGGTAGAGCGCCCACCTTGAGCTGAAGAGCTGAGGGACAGTGCCCAGGCCCAGAGTTCAAGCCCTATGACCAACAAAAAAAGAAAAAGAAAAAGAAAGAAAGAAAGAAAGAAAGAAAGAAAGAAAGAAAGAAAGAAAGAAAGGAAAGAAAGAAAGTCTCTGAGACTCTTATCTCCAATGAAGCATCAGAACACCAGAAGTGGTGCTATGGCTCAAACTGGTAGAGCGCTAGTCTTGAGCAAAATTGCTCAGGGACAGGGCCCAGGCCTTGAGTTCAAGCCCCATGACCAACAAAGAAAAGAGAGAAAGAAAGAAAAAAAAAGGAAGTGGTGGGGAAAACCAGGCAGAAGGTTTGGCATGTTCAAAGGTCCTGGGGCAGCTTGCGCGTGGTGTAGGAGGATCTAAAAAGCACATCACCACACAGTAGTGATTCAAACAGCAAAGCTCCGGAGGCCAGAAATGGGTCATTAGGAGGTGACAAGCCTGTGGCCAGGGGGTTGGGGGACCCGACAGAGAAGGACACCCACCCCGGAAGTAGAACGGTGTGAGTGCTGGGGCCTACCAAGGGGAGACCACAGGCTGGCGAAGGGAGAAAGGATCCTCCTCCTCCTGCTCCTCCTCCTGCTCCTCCTCCTGCTCCTCCTCCTGCTCCTCCTCCTGGGACCCCTTGAAGTTACCAGGAAGCCAGGGTGCCCCGCCCTGCCTCCACCTGGGAGCAGGCCCAATGTGGCCTCCTCCCTGTCTATCAGTGCCCTCACCACGCCCCAAAAAGCTGATCACAGACATAGGAGGCCAAAGTCCCCCCACCCCCACCCCAGCCCCACCCTGTTGAGTCAGAAGCCTTGCCAGTCAGGTCTGGCAGGCGCCAGGGTGACACTGGGCCCACAGCAGCCTTGGCTTTAGAGGAGGGTCTCCAAGCTGCCTCTTTAATCAGGCCTGGAGGGGTCCTCACCCCCACTAAGTTTTATGGAACTGGTCGAAACCTGAGGTAGCATGTGCAAAGGTCCTGAGGCAGAGCTGTGTTAGTGTGTGGAGGAATACAAAGGAGATGGAATAGCTGGAACGGAGAGACCGAAGGGAAGAGAAAAGGGAGGTGGACAAGATCCTGCCCCAAGGCAGGTGGGAACTTTTCTGGAAGGTTCTACATAGCAGAGGAAAGGGATGTGGTGTGACTCAAGGGCGCCCATCAGGTCAGAAAGGAAGACTTCTGTGTGGCAGACTACAGGTGACAAGGGGCGGAGCCCACACATGCTGGGTGGAGTTACACCTGGTTTCCCCCAGGCCTCAATGGTGGGGCCATGCTGCGATGTGTGGGCTGCTGAAATCTGGCACATGCCAGGCGGGCCCAGCCCTGCCAGCTTTCCTAGCTCACTGGCTAGTGGATGGCTCTTCCCACAATGTCACAATCCCTCTGGGCCTCGCTTTCCTCATCGGTCCTTGAGCATCCATACAGATAGGATTAAGAACGGCCTATGCCAAGGCCCCGGGGCAGCGACATGTCCCAAGATTACAATTCAAGTTCTCCTTAGGATGTTTGGTGACCCCCCCCCCCGGGAAGAGTCACCCAGGGAGAAGGACCTGGTGCTGGACCCAGACCTCTGGGCCTCTGTTTCCCTTCCTGTCCCATAACAGACAACGACGGTGATTTCCACGTCTGTCCACACTGGCAATTATTCTTACGATTATTCCACATGGTGGGCGTTGATATTGTTGCCATCTAGGAGTGGGAAAATAGCAGGACGCACTGGGTGGTCACACCAGTGCCTCAGTTTCTTCACCTGGGGATCTCAGGAACAGCGGGGAACATTACCCCATCCATGCGCAAGCCCCAACTGGACAGGCACCGGGACGACCACGCCCCCTACGACCGCGCCCTCGCGCTGACCACGCCCACACGACCACGCCCAGGGCGGCTCCCACCCAACCGCATTGAGCCCCAGCCTCACCCAACCACACTGTTTCAAGCCCTCAAGCCCCGCCCTCTTCTGACTCCACCCATAAAGTCTTGCCCAACCCCGAAGCCAACTAACTACACTATGCTCCGCCCCTCGCGCGGGCCACGCCCCTGGCGGCCCCGCCCCCGTTCCAGCCTCACCCAATCACACTCGAATTCACCCCTCGAGCCCCGCCCTCTCCCGACCCTGCCCATACAAACCCCGCCCAGCCCCAAAGTCAACCA